GTTCACATTCAAATCAACGTTTCCATCGCTCTTGACGAACCGAGGAACTTTGACGAATTGTGTGATGAACCAGACGTTTTTTTTTTAAATTTCAGATTGACAAGGAACAGACTCTTTTTTCATTTGAAACAAAAAAGAGGACGATTAAAAAAGAACACTCTCGAACATTCATCCTTGTCATCAGCACCGACCGAATTGTTGCAATTTTGCGTTCGTTACATGTTACATTTGCAAACGAAGCACTCTCAAAACTGAAAGAATTCTACGAAAATTGATTGAATCAATAGTTTTTTTTTTGTTTTTTGCAAAAAGTTGATATCTTCGCAATCGTTGATGTTTGATGGAAGAGCACACACAAACACTCATCGTTGATTTTTTTCATGTTGATTCAATCAACGAATAGTCAAATATTTGTCTTCTAATTCGAATGTCTCCTCCTGTGAGAGGAAGCGTTTTTAGGGCCAACCGATTTAGAAAGCATCATTCATGTGTTCACAGTTCCTTGCGTAGCCAGACTTCCTGATTTTTGGTCATCATTTCTATGTTTTGCATTTGTTGTGAGTAGAGTTGTTGATTGAAGGTTGTGAAAACTTGACATCATGATAATGAAATAATTGTTTGTGAAGTTTTTTGATTTGCTGCAAAGTTTTTGACGACGTGAAATTTTGATACGTGCAGCTTGCGTCATTCAAATGCTGAACTTGAATTACTATATAAGCTATAGGAAGGGATTGTGAGAGCAATTCATCGCTGCCTTTATGTTGATTCGGTTCATCTGATTAATCGTTTCCTCAAAATCGCACGTGAATAAATCCAAACGATGCAGCGAATAGATCAGCTGAAGGAATGAAGAATGTGAAAAATGGGAAATCATATGTAATGAATAAGAATGGCTTAGATACCTAGCAGATCTTCACACTGAATTTGAACCGACTGGTCGAAAATATACAAACTTACAAAATCCGCCTGGGTATAATTGTTCCTTTTTGTGAAAGTGGATGGAACTTATTATTCACCGCAAAAGCCTACTACTACCTCACTTGAAAAGCCAAACAGAATAATATGTGCCTATAGTATTGTTTGCCTTGATCACAACACATCATCATTCATTTTGAAGCAAACACTTTGTTCAATTTCGAAAGCATGTTCTTTGGACATTCGAGCGTTTTACTTGCGATTTTCAGACATTCAGTTATGCCAGCTTCAAATTCCTTCAAACGGCAATCAAGAGGAACTGAAGCTTTCGCCTAGTCTAAGGCTCATACCGGAAAAACGACTATTTGTTTTGCGGATAGCACAGCCCCGGGATGAACCCAGACTAATCCCAAGCTAAAATTTTATCCATCGACACTTATTTGCTATTTAACAGTCTAAAACATTTCCGTCTTTCATCGATTTGACTATTTTACCCTGTTCAACACAATTTTCAAGTAAACACCATTTTCAGCCTCGGATTATCTCAAACGTACAGTATACTACTTTCCGCAGCAGGCTCTTTGTTTTCTGCTGAATCTAACCGCAGAGTGTTTGGAGTGACATTAATAAGCTGAATAAGCTCAACTGACATTAATAAGCTTACAGAGAACACTTTCGGAAAAGTGAACACTCTCTGTTTAATGTCTAATGGAAATCAAATTGAATCATTGAGATAATAACCTTTTTCGGAAATGGTTCCAGCATGGAGATAGATTCATTTTCGAATGGTGATTGAATATCACGCCACTGAATGTGATGTTTCAATCGATGCATTTCGATATCGGTAGAAAAAATTGATATGAACGAAAATTGAAACTTTATTCGAAATCTACTTAAATTTCAAGAGCTTCATGCTGACCATCAAATGTCATTTGATTAATTATAAAGTATAAAGGACAACAATAATGAAATTGTTATTTATCATCATATCAAACGACAGCGTGGTCTCGCAATAAACT